ATATAAAAATAATAAAAAAATAAATTTTTATTTTTTATTTTTTGTTTATTGCTATATTCTCATTTAATTACAACTCAAAATCAAGCTTTAAATTTACAATAAAAAATCAAAACAAAATAATGTCAACTGCAGTCACTTGGCGATATTTGGGCGGGCAATCGGCAGGACGTCACCAAGCCAACGGCGACTTCTTTTGAGTTTGGTGCTTAAAAAGTTTTTGAAATGTCAGCTTAAGTCTTTGCAAGAGTCTTACACTCGTATTCTTATTATTCGTTTTTTGCTTTCTTAGATAACATTTACGGAATGCTTATATTGTTGTAATTACTTTTTGCTTTGGGTTGTTGCCTGAATTTCTAGAAATTTGTAGCTCGACTCTTAAGCTTTTGTAGTACATCATGCTGTTATATAAATGCAATGCATTTTTGCTCGACTCTTGCTGGCAGAGCTCGATTGCTCAGTGTGAAGAGTCCTCTGTCTGTCAGCTGGGCGATGTATGTACAATAATATCCTTTCACATTTTATTACACTTGTAATGTACAACGATTGGAGCAGCAGCAGCAGCAGCAGTCGAAGGTCCTTCAAGCATCCTTAGAAGCAGCAGAGTGAGCAGTCACTTGATGTGCGCGACTGTGTGTGTGTGTGCCTTGGGGGCTCTAATAATATAAGACGCACAAAGAGCAGTAGGTGGAAGTTTATCTGTAAATGTGTGTCTGTGCCTGTGTCTCGCATTGTCAATATTGACAATAAACAAGTTTGCTATAAAACGTAACAAGAGACCGGGCCGAGTGGAGTGGACTGGAATGGCTTGACTTGGCATGGCTGGAAGTCTAGTCGAGTCGAGTCTAGTTCAGTTCGAGTGGGCCAGTCAAGTGACACACATACACTACACTAGACTACAAGTTAAATGCTCAGCTCAAAGGGGCCCACAAACACATAAATCAGGGCACTCAATCAAGCTGAGGGCTGCTGCAGTCCAGCCACAGTGACTGATTAATCAGACGCATATATATATATATATATATATACGTTTCGCATTATATTTATTATATATATCAAAATGTATTATGAGCGAGTAGTTTTCGCAGCTGCTGAGCGTTGTGCACTTTTGTAAATTGGAAAAAAAAGAAGAAAATTACTGTTTGGGAAAATAAATATAAAAGCAAAAACATATCCCTGACTCGGTGATAAAATGTTATTATAAATTATATTAAAAATACATAAATTGTGCGAGGCATTATAAGCGGCGACTGCCGACCAGGCCAGGGCCTGGGCAAGGGCCAGGGACAGAGCAATCGCTCATGCGGCCAACGGGTTGACATTTATGCTGGCCAGCCAAACAAACTTTTATAATTAATTAACATTACAATAACAACAGCAATTTGTTTAAACATAAATCAATCATGAGCAACGTACGCTCTCATTAAAAATTAAAGCCCCGAAAGGGCAAACGAATGCGTTGTGTTTATGTGTGTGTGTGCAGCAATTTAATAATGCTAAAATTTCTGTTTTTCTGTTTTTGCTTGTTTTACAGATTTTACGGCCGGACTGCGTCTGGTCGAGGTGCGCATACCAAACTATGTGATTAAGGGCGCCACCGCCCAGCTGGAGTGCCTCTACGATTTGGATGGCGAGGCGCTTTACTCGGTCAAATGGTACAAGGATGGCAATGAGTTTTACCGCTATGTGCCCAGGGATAATCCGCCGGCGCAAACATTTCGCCTGCCAGGTGTTGCTGTTGATGTGAGTATGCCACTGACGGAAGAAGAAGAGAGCGAAAAGAAAAATAGGCAGGAGTTGTTAAGACGCGAATGAACCGACTGACAGATACCCTAAGACTTGTGCCATGCTGCAGCTGAAGATTTTCCTGTTGTTATCCATGGCAATACTATGTGTATAAGGCCAGCAAGCATTGCTGAGAGAGGTTCCTAAAGCTAGTCCTATGTATTCCTGTACTTAAAGCGAATATGTTGAGTCAGCTGGAGCTCTTTATACTTAAAAGAAGTGCTTGAATCCCTGGATTAAGATATTTCATTGAAGATTATGGTATCAATTTCATGAATATTGATACATGATCGATAATTTTCCATTAAATTTAAATATAGTACACTATAAAATGACCTTATTTGGATCTTACAGTTAATTACAATGAGAGACATAGGGAAAAAAATACAATTTTAGTGTATTATGAGGTGTGTCATCGATTCCAAGCAATTAAATGATTATATCGATAATTTACGAACATACCAGATTAGAGAGCACTATAAAATGACCATCTCTAGCCCTTATTGATGAGGGAGAGATTCAATAATAAATAAAAGCAAATAGAAATAGTTTATCGGCCTCATCTGGACTTTATACATATATCAGAAAAGATAGTCATTTATAATTAAAAGTTAATAAACTTTTAGCTTTCCAAGACCTTATGGATAACTGGAAAGAGAGGCTTATAATATATGCTTCTTTGCTTCTTTGGCTCCTATGGGTAAACAGAGAGGGATAGGATATATAGAGATAGAAAGATAGAGAGAAAAAGAACAAGATAGATGATTCTTACAATCAAGACTCACTAGACGAGTTGAAGTAGATGTATCCCATATCAACATTAGTCTATTTCATATTAAATAAGAACATCTCAGACATTAGACTCTTTAGATGAAAAAAGAGAGAGAGAAAGAGAAAAATGAGCTAAATTTTAATATCTAGCCCTCAAGAGTTCAAATATAATATCCGATCTAAAGCTTTCTCCTTTGGCTATTATATTCAAAAAGAGAGAAGCCAGCAGCTTAGTTTCCTATCTTTCTCATGGCTGATCCTGCTCAGTTCAAAGCCTGTCCCATGCACTTTTACAAAACCAGTATACCCCATTTTGAGCACTTCTCGTGGTCTCACGCAAAATTAGAGCTGCCTTCAGCTTGGCGGCGGCATTGTTAAGGCGCGGCATTAAAACAACGTTGCATGCTTTGCGGCGCAGCCAGACAATAGACTGCAACGCCTCCTGGCCGGCAGCTCTAGTGCCCGTCTGCTTATATAGGGCTGCAGCAAAGGAGCTCTTTATCACTGCACGGGCGCAGACAATGAGTCGCCTTGGAGTTGAGTTAGTTTTTTGGTGCAGCTGCTGGAGCGTATCTAATGGCCACAAAGAGAACTCTCACGCAGCTGCTCTGCATAAGCAGAGCTCCGTAGACAAGTCAAGCGCTGACCTCAGAGCTGTGCTTAAAGCTCTAGCACTTTAGTCTCCAGCCCATCAGTTGGCCGTTAGCACAAGTCTGAATAACATTTAAAAATAAAAATTCAAACAATGATCATGCATGGACTGAGCCGAACTTTGCCGCCCGCTCCGTTCTGGAAAAGTGGCGCACTTAAATGCCATTGCGCCATTATTTTTGCCACTAAAAGTTTTGCACGTCAAATGCGAGGTGCACGCGCTTACAGGTGAGGTTGCGGTGGCGCCAATGCCCGAAAAATCCTGTGTACGCATACAAAGCACACATTGGCATTGCCCGAGGGGCGGTGCGAGGGTAAACGCCTCGCTGAGTTCTAGATAAGCACGTGAGAGCGCCAGACTCACACGCATACACAGCCATAAAACGATGTACAGTGGAACTGCGCTAGAGCAAACTACTGAAACTCGAGTCTAATCGTCGTAACCGAAAAGAGAAATAAAAGTGAATCTGCTTGGCATGCATGTCCTGGCTACACCCGCGCATCCTGTTCGGGTTCCTGTGCCGTGTGTTTTGCCAGTTGCGAGTGCAATAAATTTTTCAAGTTGCGCTTTTGCCAGTCGCCGCTGGCTATGGGCGTGGCACGAACGTGTCTATAATGCGCATTATAACAGCCAGAGGATATACACCCACACATGGACAGAGTCGGTCTACTCAACTTTGATGGTGGGCAGCTGATAAAAGCGAAACATGTTGCAAGGTCTAGATAGTTGGCTCTAGCTGGCAGCCAATGCTAATGGTTATATCCAAACCACATTTGGCGGATATTGTTTTAGCATAATCGATTCAAGTGACTGTCCGACCGTCCCTCCGTCCGACCGACTGACTGACGTGGCTGGGCCAACAACTTTTTGGCCATTGGCTGGCTTTTTGTTTGGATTTCGGGCTTTGTTTTATTGCAGTTGTGCGAAACTGTTCGCCGTCTGCCTGGACGTGTGCTAAGCTAAGAGCTTAACGGCGTCTGCGTTTGCGTCTGCATCAGTGTTTGTGTTTAGCTAGGTAAACTATAAATTAGGTTAAGACAACAACAGCAACAACAATTACAACACAATGAGCACAAAGGTATAAAAAATGCGCAATAAAAGATAACAAAGTGCACTTTTAGCTGGGCAAGTAAACAACATTAAAAAACCCCTTTTCAAATGAATGAAGAGCTTGAGTTTTGGTAGAAACGACTGTTTAATACTCGCTCAGATATATTTACACATCTTTAGTAGAAAATTTTAACATGAGCAATGCGTAATTGCGAGAAGATTATAGAGTTGATGTTCTATAGAGTAGTGCCTCTAGGGATAACTCTATAAAGAAGAGTCCACCCACATAGTAGGGTCTATAGAGACGGATCTATTGAAAGGGATCTATTGAGATGGGTTTATGGACAAGGGTCCTTTAAGAAGGATCTATAGAAATTTGTCTATAGAGTCTATAGAGGGGAGATCATTTGGAAGGGTCGATAGAGATGAATTCATAGTGTGTAGAGAAAAGTCTATGGAAAAGGACCTACCGAGAAGAGTCTATGGAGAATAGTCTATAGAGAAGAGGCCATTGGAGGTCATTGAGAAGAGTCTGTGGAGGAGGGTATTTGCACATGATCTATAGACAAGGGTCTATTCGGAAAGAGTTATAGAGAAGAGTTTATTTGAAGATATACATTTGGGAAGTGTCAATGCAGCTGAAGTGATTAAGATGGGTCTTTAGAGAAGGGTCAGTGAAGTAGGATCCATAGAACAGGTCTATGAGAAAGGTTTGTGCAGAAGAGTTTATAGAGAGATTATATAAAAGTCTTGAAAAGTTCGTAGAGAAAAGTGTATTGATAGAGGTATATAGAGAAATATCCATACAGAAAAGTCCATAGAGATTAATTAGGATCTACCAGCAATTGTGAAAGATGCGACGTGGTAAAATCTTTTTCCGATTTCCCTTGCCCATAGAGCTTGTTACGAGCTCTTTCGCCTATAAAGAAGGGCAAAAGTAAAAATGAAACATGGAAGTCTTCCTCTGAAGTTTGACAAGATATAGTAATACACAATTCTTCATTGTGCCTAGCCACGGATCTAACTACAACACATACAAAATCGCAGATTATTATACGAGTATATACAAAAATTATATCAAATTCTATCAAACGCCAAAAGAAACATCGCAAAAGAGATATAAAACCTCCTTTTCCTCCCAGTTGGTCAGTTGGATAAGTATAAGCACTATCACATAAGACTTCTCGTCTCCAGCTTCAATAGCAGCAAAATGGCTTACGCATGGACAGCCAGACGGACGTAGAACAAAACCAATAAGCTCCTTGCATTCCTTGAGCGGGTAAAACAAACAGGCAAACAGGCGGCGGCCAGCAAAGCAGCTTAATGGCTTAAAGCTGAAGGGGGAAGCATTCGCCTAACGTACGCGACTGACCCTTAAATTGACCAAGTGGGTTCTGTGTGCCTTCAAGAGTAGCAAAAACATTGAAAAAGCATTTTGAGCCGGTTCTCAAAAACAATTACGTTACATTAACGTTCAAAGTGGTGGCGGCTATTGAAACTGCCAACTGGCAATTGAGAACTGGGAACAGGCAACAGCCAATAGCGAACAGCCAATGTCGAAGGACGGACAGCGGCTTCCTTTTTGGTCTTACAACTTTTGCCACTTTTCGTTTACATTGCTTTAGCCGCGCTGCGCTGCCTTTATTTTACTTTACTCTGAACACATTCAAACCGTTTTTAATTGCAGCTGCACAACTCGAGCGATGCGATTGTTAACCTGCACAACGTCAATCTGCAGTCGGCTGGCCGCTTCCGCTGCGAGGTTTCCGGCGAGGCGCCATCCTTCCAAACGGTCACCGAGCATGGCGACATGGTTGTTGTGTGTAAGTATACCAATAATAGTAATACGAGCTGCTGTAGAGTAATTGAACTCTGGCGAATACTTATAATTCTAATTGGAAATTGGCGCAGCATAGCCATAGAGAGCGAGAGAGCGAGAGAGTGAGGGAGAGGGGGAGAGGGAGTTTACTGAGAGTGGCGATTAGGGCTTGGGTGGTGCAATCAACTAGACTCAAGTGTAACGTCTAGAGTGTCCATCTATCAATTCTTGAAGTTTAATTGTGTCTAGGGTGTTGTTGAGGCTGCAGATGTGTGAAGTGATGTGCGGGGAATGGAGGTGGTGTTAAGAGCCAGGTAAGGCTTATTATTGTGTAGCAAGTGAAATAAATAGAGAAATCGCATGTAATTGAATAGAAATAGAGATTGAACAATAATCAGATACATATAATCAAAAAGTACATATAGTACTAGCTATATCATTTACAAGAATGGATAGAGATTTTGCTTGCCTCATATATAGATAACAGTATTATTTATTGATGAGTGTGGAATTTAATTGTTGTCTAGAGTGTTAAGTCCTTAAAAAAGTTGATGAGTGGAAAGAGCATAGATCGCCGATGTATTTGAAGAGATTAGCTAAGGAATTTCACATGTCCACTATGCTAAGAGCCTGAACTAAGCATTAAGTGAGGCAGGCTAAGCAGTAAAATTAGAAACTTTAAATTTGAATATCTTTCGAAAATAGATTTCCTATACCTAGAATCTGTATAAATTGCACTAATACTAACTTAACTAAGCTTAACTAATTACTACTTCTACTAACTTAGCTCAACTAAGTATCCAAAGCACATTTAACATAGCTATGCAGAGACTATTTCCAGAGCTCTTAACTGTTAATCAGGCTGCAGTATACTGTTAAATGGACTCAATGCCAAAATTTATAAAATGAAATAAATAATTGTTAACTTCTCTCAAAAACTTAGTTTTGAGGAAATAAAAAATGTACCATATAAATATATGGTAATTCAATTCTCGACTGTTAATTGTCTATGTTAATGTTATGTTATTTTCATTTATTATCTCAAACTATGTAGCTTTAGAGTTAAATGGAATATAGTTTGATTGTACATCTCTAATTATACATTCAAGTGAAAGCGAGCAGTAGAGCTTTCAAGAAGATTATAATGGGTAGAGGTACTCAACTGTTAATTAGGCTCATTTTGAGAAGCAGTCAAAAAGAACTATCGACTTTTAGCTGTGTTCAAAATTTTTTTTTTAGCTAGTGTCACTTGAAGAAGCTTAAGCAGATTATCCATTGTTAGTCGTTAGCTAGGCTCAAAGCTTTCGCTTCAAGTAGTCAGTAAATAGTTAGCTAACTAAGTTAACTGTAAAATGGACTCTGAGATCGGCCCTTCAAGATATCTAGATCCTCCTTATTTTGGAATATCTTTAATATATAAACATAGTATTTA